GGAGGAAGTAGGAGGGGAGATGTTGCATTGTGGTAAATTGTGGTCAATGTCATGAGACAAAGTGTATGTGAACTGCTGTATGGAAAGTTTATTTGCTCTGTAAATTTTCACACAAATAACAATTAAGAAAAAATACATCAATTTCATGCTTTATGAAAATAGATTAAAGGAAAATAAGAGCAGAAAGGAGACCAATTAAAAACTTGTATTCATATAAGAAAGTAATGGCTAGGATTAGGGTGGTAGGAGTGGAGGTGGTGAGAGGTGTTCAGATTCTGGATATATTTTGAAGGTAATCAAGATTTGCTAATGGATTAGATATGGAGTGTGAGAGAAAATGACAAGTGAAGTATGACTAACAGGTTTCTGAGCTGAGCAACTAGAGGAAGGAGTTGACATTTTCTGAAACGGGAAATAAGTAGAAGGAACAGGTTTAGGGATGAAGGAAGAGATATAAAGAGATTAATTTTGGAAAGTTGATGCCCATTATATGCTCATTATTGAAGGAAGAAGTCCAAACTTCACTGAAATAATTGGCATAAAACAAGGCTTCAGGAATTGATGGAATACCCATTGAGATGTTTCAACAAATGGATACAGTGCTACAGAAGCTTATTTGTTTATGACAAGAAATTTAGAAGTCGGCTTCCTAGTCAACCGACTTGAAGAGATCCATATTTGTGCCCATTCCGAAGAAAGGTGATCCAACAAAATGTAGAAATTATCAAACAATATTGTTAATATCATACACAAGTAAAATTTTGCTAAAGATGATTCAAAAAAGGTTGCAGCAATATACTGACAGGGAACTACCAAAAATTCAAGCTGGATTCAGAAGAGGAAGTAGAATGAGAGATATCAATGCTGATGTCAGATGTATCTTAGCTGAAAGCAAAGATTACCAGAAAGATGTTTACCTGTGTTTTATTGACCATGCAATGCAAAGAATGGGAATTCCACAACACTTAATTGTGCTCACAAAGAAGCTGGACATAGACCAAGAGGCTGCTGTTCAAACAGAACAAGGGGATACTGCATGGTTTAAAAATAAGGAAGGGTGTACATCAGAGTTGTATCCTTTAACCATACTTATTCAATCTGTGTGCAGAGCAAATAGCCCGAGAAGCTGGATTGTATGAAGAACAGGGCACCAGGATTGGAGGAAGACTCATTAGCAACCTACGATATGCAGAAGACACAACTTTACTTGCTCAAAGTGAAGATGACCTGAAGTACTTATTGAGGAAAATCAAAGACTAAAGCCCTCAGTATGGATTACACTTCAACATAAAGAAAATAAAAATCCTCACAACTGGACCAATAAGCAAAATCACAATAAATGGAGAAAAGATTAAAGTAGTCATGGATTTCATTGTACTTGGATCCACAATCAAGACCCATGGAAACAGCAGTCAAGGAATCAGACATCGTATTGTACTGGGAAAATCTGCTGCAAAAAACCTCTTTAAAGCATCAAGGAGCAAAAATGTCACTTTGAGGACTAAGGTCGACACACTTAATCCATGGTATTTTCAACCACCTGAAAGTACCATGGACTATCAGAAGAAATAACAAATCTGTCCTGGAGGCAGTGCAGCTGGAATGCTCCTTGGAGGTGAGAATGGCCAGACTCCGTCTTACCTACTTTGGTCATGTTGTCAGAAGGGACCATTCCTTAGAGAAGGATGTCATGTTGGTAAAGTGGAGGGTCAGTGAAAAAGGGAAAGGCCCTCAATGAGATGGATTGACACGGTGGCTCCAATGATGGGCTTAAAGCACAGCAAGGATTGTGAGGCTGGCACAGGACCAGGCAGTGTTTTGTTCTGTTGTACACAGGGTTGGAGGTGACTCAATGGCACCTAACAATTACAACAACATATGCCCATTATACACCCAAGTGGAGGCAATGAGTAGGCAGCAAGTTCTACCATTGTGGGAGTATACATGTAAATAGCACACATACACACATGGACATGCAAATTTTCATGCACAGATACAGAAAAATCATCTAAAAGAAAACATACCTAAATTCTATGACTCATCGTCCCTGAGGAGTGGAATAATGGATGACATTTGCATATTTTCTTCTTTGTTTACTGTTTTCCAATTTTTAAACAACAAAACTTACACTACTCTTTTAATCATGAAAAAAATAAAAAAGAATTTGTTTTGATTTTAAAGAAGGAATTGGGGAAATGTCTTGAAAATTATAAATGTAGAAGACAGTGCTAGGAAGGAAAGGTAACAATTGGGTATCACAGTTTTGAGGTTTGGGTGGTTGGAGCTTTCTAAAGAGAATATTAGGTACCTAGGGAGGATGCTTAAGATGGAAATGAAAGGCATGGAGGGTGATGGTAAATAACAGAAACATTAAAGAAACAAGTGTGAAAGACAGCAAAATCGGTATTCAAAAAGAGAATGGATTAAATCCAATTAAATAAAATTTTAGATGAAAGTTTCTAGACTTGTGTATGAAAAGTCAACTCATGCTTGAGCTAAATTCTGAAAGACTAAATGAAGAAAGAAAAAGGGAAGGGCAATCCCAGTAGAGAGGCCAGCTTGTAGAACAGAGATGTAAAACCATGCTAAGCTAAGGAAAGAAGCAGTATTCCTAACTACAAAGGGTGCAAGTCAGAGAATGGCATGAGATGAGGCTCTTGAGGTAGGCAGAAATCCACTACAACTTTATGGTTTAAGCTAAACATTTTAAGCTTTATCCTGAAAGTTAAAGACAGCAACTGTTGTTGTTGTTGTTATGTGCTGTCGAGTCAGAACTGACTCATAGCAACCCCTCCTTGGGTTTCCGAGGCAGGCAGTATCACTACGGAAGTAGATTGCTCTATATTCCTTCTGAGGAGTGGCTGGTGGGTTTGAACCAGCAGCCTTCTGGTTAGCAGTCAAGTGCCTTAGCCACTATGCTACCAGAGCTCCCAAGAGAGCAACTACAAAATAATAAATATAGTCCAGATTTGTGTTTTATAATGACCACTCTTACAGAAGACATATTTGAAGGTAGGCAAAACTGAAGAAAGATGACATGTTTGAGGATTGTTGAATTAATCCAGGTGGCAAAAGTTGAGGCCTGAACCAAAACAGCAGATATATGCATGGAGAGGCTGGGAAGTGTTAAGATGTTATATTTTCTTGTACTTGACTAGATTGGGAAAGGTACATGAGGGAGAGGAAATTCTAAAGTTGCCAGCTTGGGTGACTGTATGAACAGTGGCACATTCACTCAGAGCACACGGGAGAGGAAATAAGATTGGGGGAAAATTACTTCAATTCAGATTGTAGTGTGTCTAGGAGAGGACACCAAGTGGGGTTTGTGGATAGAAAGGAGGTAAAGTGTTTTTGTTAACATAAATAAGACTTGGGGTTCTGGAGCCAAATCACCTGGGTTTGAATCCTAGGTTTGAATTACTAGCTGTGTGAACTTTAGCAACTTATAATAACTTCTACGCCTCAGTTTTCTCATCTGTAAACTGGAGATAACAACAGTAACAACTTCATAGGGTTACTATGAGGATAAAATGAGATAACACATCCAAAGCACTCAGAACAGTACACATATAACAAGCATTAAATAAACGTTAATCCTCTCTCAGTGTACATCAGCACTGCCCTAGCTTTGGAACTTTACCCACACATAGGGTTGAGCCTGATGGAAATTTTCAAATTAACAAAAAGAAGAAATAGAAACTTCAAGGTCTTCTAGTTATCCTCTCGACCACAAAACCAAACTCACTGCCCTCAAGTCGATTTGACTCCTAGCAACCCTTCCTTGGGTTTCCAAGGTGGTATCTCTACAGAAGTAGATTGCCCAACCTTCCTTCTGGCTGGTGGGTTTTGAACTGCCATCCTTCTGGTTAGCACTCAAATGTCTTAGGCATTATGCCACCAGAGCTCCCTAGTTATCCTCTGGAATCTATATATGTGCACTTAGACCACGTATTCATATAGAAGAATTTAATAAAACTCAGTTGAAAAGAAGTAAAAATGAATAATGGCACAGAGAATGATTAGATAATGAAGAAACACAATATTCCTAGCAGGTAATAAGACAATAAATGTTTACTATCACCAAAACAAAATGAATGTATAAGCACAAAAAAGAGAAGAAATAACCATTTTTGTTATTGTTCATACCAAAAATAAATTTAATTTGTGATGCAACACATTTTCCCTTTAATGTATACAGCTATATTAAATCCACATCATTTATTCAAATAAAACTCTTACTTCACGGTTGAGGATCAAATCTTATTTTCAATACGAAATATAAGGTCCAAGATACTTTGCATACCTCTTTTCGCCATCCACAGTTTGTTTTGGCTTGTTTCTTGTGACAGAAGTTGAATGATTAAGAATCCTAGAAGTAAATCAACACATTAGTTTTTAAATATTGAAGAGAATAATGTGTACAATACATGAGATAAAATATCTCCAAAATAAACTGCATCTGGTCCATGAAGATCTTTGCTAGAAAGTAATACTTAAATTTATTACTTAGATAAGATGCCCACAAACACGCTGGCTATTTAAACGGAACAAAGTTCAACAATTCGTCCATGCATCTTCTTTTAGTTTCTCAGGGTTTGCATACATACTATTATCCTTTGCATATATAACTTTTAGCTGAGAAAGAAGATAAAAAGATAAAGATTTTTTAAATACCGTCATGACTGATTTTGTTTTCCCATTACAATAAATGAGATGAGGTACACTGACACTACAAGAAGAAAATAATACATAATCATTTCACCAGGGGCAAAACCAGTGTTAAAGTTCAAATCATTTTTAAAAAACATCAAGGTTACTAAACTTTTAATAACCAAATGAAACCTTATTTGAAGAAAACAAAAATTTGAACCACTGTAAGAGAGAGCTATTTGTTCATCATTTTATATGATTTTAAATCTTAACCTCAAAGTCAAAAGTAATGTATTTAGTAACTGTTTTCCTTTAACATAAGAAACTAACATTTAAGAGTTTTTCATTTAGTATTAATAAGAATATAAGCATAAAGTTCAGTGTTATAAAAAGTGGTTTTTATTTATAATCTTCAGACATCAACTATGATGAAAATATATAGGATGTAAGATATAATTTTATATCTTACAAGGATATAAATTTTTAAATACAAATATGGTTAACATAAAGAAACCAATTTCCATGACTCCTTATTTGCTCAGTAGCTCAGATCTAATAGTCTCACTAGGAGGAAGACACAGTGAGGTGCAAAGGACAAGTATTCAATGCACACACAAATCAAAATAGCTCTAGACCAAATAATTTCAGAGTTAATGACTCCTTTACTCTTTGTATGGGCACACGTTAACAGTACACTGAATCTCCAAATGAAGAATTAAGGTAATGAAATGTCTAAGATAATTAGGAATACAATTTTTTTTAACAAGTGATTATGAAACAGTAAGACACAGCAGTTAATACTTCCCTAAGAAAAAATAACACAATTGCGGGGGGGAAGAGGGAAAGGGAACACCAAACTACACATATTCTTCCCTACTTCCGCTTCTCTCCCTCCACCACCACACTTACACTAGTTTTGGGATTATCGGTGTCTATGAGTCATACTGGACCAGAAAGAAAAAAATAAAAGCTGAAAATAACTTATCTATAAAATATTTTATGTTCTTAAAATTCATCTATGTAATATTTTGCTATGAATACTGATATTGTACTCTGAAATACTATTTTATCTAATATATATTCTAGATTATGAACACATTTCCCTAATCCAGTAACCAGTATTATATTTTAAGTGAAAGACTATACAATTCAGCTGCATCAACCTGACCACTTCATTCTTAAGGCTTCCACAAACTCTAGATACCTTGATGCACGTCCTGCTGCTCTGGTCCTCTGGAAGAGCTTTTCACTGAATGATGCTCTATAACATAAAGGCTTCCGTCTGTATTCACATTTCACGTACATCAACCAAACCAAAAGATGGGAGAAGTAAGAAAATGTTTTGGGAGAGGACAGGGAAGTCATTAGTAAAGCAAGTAGAAAAGAAAGAATGGATAGATTTCAAGGGTTGAGAGAACTTCCTAATTAGTTTTAATAAGGTAGATGTTAACATGATACGCCTCAAACTGAAATGCTCATATAATCAATTAAGAATCACATGAAACAAGTAATATACATAGTGTCTTTAATTCTAAATCAAAACAATAAACTGCCCAAAATCTGATTTTGCTTTCCATGTCCCTTAATTATACTTCAATTATAACTTGTCATTACTATATTTTGTTATTGATCTATATTATATAACACATCCTTCCACCATAAATAAAAACTTTCAGGGCATATCTAAAAGCACATAAAATAATTATTAAAAAGAAAGACAACAGAAAATGTTATAAAGTTCACAAGAATGAACATACAATGTGAACCAGTCAATCGAAGACATTCATTGCAAAAGCCCACACATATTGTGATCTTTTTTTTAAGATAGCAAAACCAATTTTAAGAAGGCAGCTAAATACCTACATATTAACCTGCATAGTAATATCAGTACAATAAAGAGAGCTGTTGTTGTTGTTGTTATGTGCCTTTGAGTCAGATCTGACTCATAGCGAGCCCTCCTTGGGTTTCCCTCCTTGGGTTTCCAAGGCAGTATCACTACGGAAGTAGATTGCCCAACCTTCCTTCCAAGGAGTGGCTGGTGGGTTTGAATGGCCAGCCTTCTGGTTAGCAGTCAAGAGCCTTAGGCACTATGCTACCAGAGCTCCCATAAAGACAGCTAGCCCCTTCTATAATACTAACATACATAAGTTGGGCTGATGAAAAGTTGAAGAATGGACTAATTCATAGAGCAATGCTATATTTAAAATCCTGATTTTTTATCACTACTTTTTTTTTAATTTCCCAAATTATAATGAAGGTAAATTAACACTTCCTGAATCACTATTTTAATATAGTCAAAGTCATTGATTGAGTGACTTCAATATACTCAAATACAATTATCCAATTTTGGGCAGGAATGATAAAGATTAGTTTTTAAAAATTCAACTTAAGTGACTTTGTTAATACAAAGTAGCTTGATCTATGTATCTCAATTAGAAGAAGGGCAATCTTCTAGAAAACTAGACTTCAAACTTTGAACACTACCTTATTTTCATGTAAATAACACCCATGTTGTAAGTTTTT